AGCTATCAGGTAGCTTATCGGTCAATTTTATCAAACATAGTCATATAACTTATAAAAGAATTTCAAGTTTATAACTTCTAGTTTATGGCTTGTTATTGAAAAGTGATGTATATGATAAAACTTTTAGTAAAATTAATTGATAAGGTGAAATAAAAAATTCAACAGACTTATTAAAATAAATGGCCGTATCAAACCAAACTTATTTAGATATAAAAAACTTATAAACTAATCAAATACGCTACGCAAAGCAACTTGGTCATACCCAAACCATACTACTTTTTATTTTTCCATTAACTTTGAGCCACTTTCAATATCATTACTTGTTTTTGCCTACCAATTTTTTACTCTTTTGATTTGATAAAAACTTGTAGTTATGTTTATATTTTGCCAAATGCTATGTTCACGTCAATGTGATACATATTTCTTAATTTAAAAGTTTTAATTTGTTCAGCATTTTTTGAAACTTTCTAATCCAGCACAGTAATTATCAGTCTCATTCAATTTTGTCCCCAATAGCTTCGGTTCATCCCAATATTTGTTGACAGCTAATTCTAATTCATTTTTTTATCTAAAATTAGTGAATTGAAATATTAATTTATTTTACATATTTTGCTTTTAAATCTGTGTTTATTCTAGATTTGACTTCAAATTTGTAGTCACTTTCTTTTAAAAAAATTTTAAAAAAAAAAACTTTTATTGATTAAAAGTTACTGTACCAAATAAAAGTTAAAAGAAATAATGACAAAAAATGTGGAACAACAAAAAATATTGAACTAAACTTGTATTTTCCACAAAGTTATCTAGAAAATAATTATTTTGTCCAAAAAAATTTACTTAATTCTATAAATTTGTCACGGGAAGGTGATTAGGTGAAAATGAGCAAATAAAAACAAAAGTATTCCTTAATACGAGGATTAGGAGATGCTTACGAGGATAATTGGATAAGGTCAAGATTTGCTGGAAAAATATAATAATAATAAGAGATGTTATGGTCTCGTTGGGAGTTTATAACCGTTATATCAACTATCCTTGATTACAAGATGATCTAACGATTATGAATCTCAACATAATAGTTTCGTAACGAAACCGTAATATTTTCCAATAATAATAATTTGGTCCATTCTCTTGGTATGGTTCATTGACTAATTAATGGCTACATAACTTTAATAAATTAAATAAAAAGGAAATGTTGTTTATGGAAAATAACAGCGGTGCGATATTATTATGTTTGATAATTATTGGTTCAGTGCACAAATAGAAAAAAAATAAAATAAAATAAAGGAATGATTATAAGAATCCAACTTAGGGAAATTAGATGTGGCTGATTTGATGTGATGCGTGGGGAAAGGGCGGCCCATGATGACACTGTGACGTGTGAATTTTATTTATTTATTTAATTATTTATTTATTTATTTATTTATTTTTTTTTTTGAGAATGAAGTTTAATTTAGGTGGCGACATAAGGGCCATAAGGCTAAAAAATTCCCAAGTTTCGTGCAGTCGTGTGTTGAAGGAAATTTTGGAAACCAAAAATGGAAAATAGCTATTTTATAAATCATAATTGTGAATTTTTCTTAGAAGAAATTTCCGGCTTTATCACTTCTTCACCTTAACCGGCATAGCTACTTAGCATCTATATATCGAGCTAACTAAGCTTCTCTTATGTGCTATATTAGTGTTCATCCGATTAATGTTCCATTACAGTCAGTTCTTCACTTTGATCCAACAAATAGATATTACCATCGTCGTGTAAATCAACAACCTCGCATTCACATTGATCCAACTAATGGATTATCTTCTCACAATCTTTTGAATGCTCCGACGTGCAACACTCAAACTCGTGATGCAACCAAAGAACGAAATAAGTGAGAAAAAGATACTCAAAATCTTACCGATTTGACAAAAGAAGGAGAGATTGCATTAACAAAATAATGGTTATTAGTCTCGGAGGATGCTAAAGTGGGTAACAATCAAAAGGGAACAACTACGTGGAACGTATTTTATAAGTTCAGAAAGAGAATATGAGGGTTGCATGCAATACAACTCGAAAAAACAACAATATGCAACTCAAATAGGTCAAAATAAAATTTGCAGTGAGTAAGTTCCATGCACAGTATGAGCGTTTAGAGCGACAACCACAAAGTATTTCGAACTCAAATGATATATTATTTAATTTCTCGAGAGAAATTAAATTTTGACTCATGTCTTAAAATGAATCCACATGATAACCTAATCCAAATTTTACATGTCATAACATCTAAATATCATTAATTGTATTTGCATTGAAGATGTTTTTACATTAAAGAGGGAAAAGAGTTATTCTTGGAGATTAAGA